CAAATCTATATTAACGTAACAAGAAATTCATCCTCCAATAGGTTCCATCAAAACCCTAGATTAGGAGTTTAGCTACTCATACTACTAGACAAGATTACAGTATAAAAAGTCATAACCAACAATGGAATTAAGAAAAAGAAGAAGAAGAAAAACTCGTACATGATTCTCCATCTTGCTCCTTGTTTTTGTGTTCTTGCCTCCAAAATTCTTCTAAAAACAAGTATCCCCTTTTTTTGGGCGAGTTAGGCTTCATATAGGTCAAGTTTAGTCGCCTTTGGAATTATAAAATCGGCCTTGGGCTTTTTTTCTCGGAAGCCCGTGCCCGGCCGCGGATCAACCGCGGATTGACCGCGCATTTTGCCCAGTATTCTGCCTGACGTGTGCGGCCAGTGCGCAGCCGCGGATCGACCGCATACCTGGAGGAGTTTTTGCCTTCATTTTTTTCTTTCTTCTTTTGCGCGCGCTAACCTCCAATTGACCTTCATTGCTCCATATTAACTCCAAAATACTCTTTAATGTCCTCATAGCCCGGAATTGCTCCTGCAAAGCATAAAGATCTTAATTAGAGTAATTTGTTATCATTTAACATTCAAATATTAGTAAAGTGCAGCTAAGTTAGAGCGTAAATGGTAGCTAAACTACATAATTATAGCCTACTATCACCTCCAAACCACACAAAGGATGTAAACCGTACTAGGCAAGCCACATGCGACATGTAGGGGTGTTCATGGTTCGGTTTGGATCGGTTTTCCCCTAAAAAGAAATCAAACCAAGTAAGTCAGTTCTTAAAATGTTGGAACCAAACCAAATCAATTAAGTCTGTTTTTTAGCGATTCGATTTTTGTTGATTTTTATCGGTTTTTCGATTTTTCGGTTATTTATCAGGTTTTTTCTTAAATATGAGACATACACTACCAAACACATATTCCAGTGACTACATTTTCAACGTAACACTAACAAACCAATTGCTCTTTGAAAAATCTATCATTTACGATATATTGATGATACTTGAATCAAATAGTGATGAATAATTTAAGTACTCAATTAAAAATAGATTATTTTTAATATGAAATAGTTCTTTTACTTAACAAACGCAAACTACCAATAAAAAAGGTGGTCTTTTATAAAGATGCATGTTATACATGTTACTATAACAAATAAAAAAATTCAGAAAGTGCGAAGATGGTATTGTCATGATTTTCATTATGTTTTCCCTTGAATGAAATCCGACGAAAAAGGTGGTCTTTTATAAAGATGCTTTAATACAATTATTCATTCATCTTTTTATCCTATTCCACTTAAGTTTCACCATAAGAGTGGATAATGGAAGAATAATTGAAAAGGATTTGATTGTTTCATCATCTTTTTCTCGTAGTGACCATTACCTAAAATTATTATACAAAAGTGACATATGATAATCTTGGTGATATTTTTTACCATCAAAGGTTGACAATGATGCTGAGTTTTCGAATTTGTTTAAGTAATATTTATAATATATTTGACAGCCATTCGTAAATGAATAGAAGTTATTTATTTCCATCTGGTGAAGACTATTTTTCACAATTCAAGATAGTCAAACACCATAAAATAATTTTTCAAAAAAACATTTTCAAGAATATGTTTTTCGTCGTATCAAACATATCCTAGCAAAAGGAAGAAGTACCCGTCGAATTAATGATCATTTTCTTTTCTCTCCACCCTTAATTAGTGTTCTAAATATTTGCAGACATCATAATAAAAATATGAATAAGGGAGTTTTGATATGATCATTAGCGCAAGAAAAAGAATACTTCCCCAACAATTATTGTGATTGATTTAACCGCCAAGATTTATGGTGGGATGCATAAGTCCCTCCACTTTTAATTAAAGATTTCGGATTGAACCTTGAGAATAAAATAAAAATCCTAATAATGATCACTTCCCCTTTAATAGACTTACTCGGCGTGAATTTGGACTAGTCGGGGGTCCTATACTAATACTGTATACCTGATGAAAAACAAAAACAATTACTTTGAGTCTATAAATATCAACGTCGGATTCCCTTACACAATTTCTCTTTTAAAAGAACAGTGAACTGAGTGTAACTCTTTATTTCTTTTAACTTAATACAACAATTATTATGTATGACTGTTTTTTCTTTCTTCATAAAAGGGATATACCTATAATGAATTTGACGTCAAAATATGTTTTTTGGCTTTTTCTTTGTTATTACGACGAAATAGTCGAAAGAAATAGTTTAGCCCTATCACTTCAAATGAACAAAATAAAAGTATTTTAATTAGTTTTATTAGGTAATGTGTTAAAACGTAAAATGCAATATGAAACTGACAAAAGACATGCATATGCTAAAAAGGACATACACGTGAAATTAAATATATTTTCAATAAATTATACACATTTGATTGAAACATAATTAAATAAAATTTCACACATTTCATGTTACAAATTTTATAGATAACTTCGTTGCACTTTTTTTGTGTACCTGTCTCTCACCACTTCTTAGTCCCTAAAGTTTTATTTTCTTATACAAAAGAATAGGGAAAAAAGAGAGGCAAAAAGGCAAGAAAAGGCTTCTCCCAAAACCTTAAGACTGCGGGGCGCGTATTTGGTCGCCCCATTTAACCTATACCCATTTTTAAAAAAACTTTTAATTTGTACCCACTTTTTAAATAATTTCGGCTCTCTTTCTCCTCCTCCTTCTCCTCCTTCACTTTCTTCTTCTTCTTCTTCTTCTTCTTCTTCTTCTTCTTCTTCTTCTTCTTCTTCTTCTTCTTTGTTTTGCTGCTATTTTCTATCTTGCAATCCCAGTAACACAGAGTTCTTCTTTAGGCTATCAAGTGTGATCACTCCTTTGTCACCATCCATTAAACTTTGGTACTCTTCAAAAGCCAGACGTTGTGCTTATTGTAGATCGAGTTAATGAGTGAATATTTACAGCATGGATGCAATATATTTTTAAGGAAGTTTTCTGGTGAATATTGGAAAGCCATATTCCAATTAAAGACTAAGTCAGATGAGGAATTTCTCTACTATTTCTTAGAACTTGCGTTCAAAGGATGTTTGCTTGTTTGGAAATTCTATTTCAGACTTAGTCAGTGTTTTCATTCGTCAAAATGAGCTATTAAAGCACTGCCCAGATTGCTCAGAAATGCTTAACAGCAATGGACAAAATGCTATGCATGTTGCTATATTGAACACTCTATAGCTGAAATTTCCTTGTTACAAAGACAAAAACTTCAGCTCTAGAGCTGAAGTTTTTGTGTTGTAACTGGAAACTTCAGCTCTAGTATGTAATATTAATAGCTCTAGAGCTGAAGTTTCCCAGTTACAACACAAAAACTTTAGCTCTAGAGCTGAACTTCAGGCTCCGCTACTAGAATGCTGAAGTTTTGCGTGATTGCCTTTGCTACTTCAGCCCCGTATGCTGAAGTTATGCAAAAAAGCGGGTACGCTTGTAATTTTTTTTGCAAAGCGGGCACAAGTTAAAATGTGATATAAAAAGCGGGTATAGATGCAAATGCCCCCAATTCGTTAGCTAGACAACACCTAAAGGTAATGTATGATATATATTATACAATAATTAAGTAATGAAAAGTTTGGCATTTATCCTTTCCCTATAGCATCTAGATATGGTATTAGGTTCCAATTTCCAAATTGCTATCACAATTGTGCTTACACTCCTAAAAGACATCTTCTGTGTGTAATGCCTATTCCATGAGTAGATGCGAATTTAAAATTTAGAGAGTCAATGAGTATTGCTTTTTATACATATATAAATCTACACACAATGAGTTCTGTTGAATATGCTACATCTGCCATTTGGTAGATGAATATTAATGTCGACATACATATTACATATTAACTTCAAATGTATCTACTGTTAAGTGCTCATCAAACTGCTTTTAAAGGTGAAATTTAGTTCAATCAATTAACAATGACAACATTTAAATAGTGGTCATGTGGTGCAAATAATCCTTTTAGTTTATTAAAGCAAAAATTTATGAGAAATTTTCATAAAGCACTATCTTTTAGTGGTAATTAGCTATCTATAGATACCATTTGCTGTCATACCCCTTTTTACCCCTTCAAGTGATAAGTGTAAAATGTTATGGATTGTGGGTTAAAAAACTTTTAAAATTAAAGTGATAAACTTGAAATAGAGATTATTTTATTTACAGAGTCCCACTTGGAATTGATTTTTTCCGGTGTTCCAAGTCACCTTTTATTTGAATCCCTATTCAAAGGAAGGTTTGACTCTATTATTATTGATCTGCGAAAACAAAGTCCGGGTAAGGAATTCTGTTGACCGGGAGAAGGTGTAAGACATTTTCCGAGTCCCGTGGTTCTAGCACGGTCGCTTTATTGACTACATTTGACTTGAATTAAACTTGGATAAACCGTGATTTATTTGATTTTTATGCTTTTCTTATGTCCGCTTTTATTTATTTAAAAAAAATTAAAGAAAAGATTTGAATAATAATCTACAACTTAACTAATGAGAGAAAATTATTGTTATGAGTACTAATTTAAAAGATGAGACTAATGAGAGAAAATTATTAATTGACATTGCTTAAAACTAGTAAGATGTGGACTTGTCTTGACATTGAATGAGGCAGCCCACTATTGGGTTGATAGAGTCAAATGGGCTTATGTCCAAGACAAAATCCAAAAGCCCATATGCTTTTGGACTTTAAATCTACAGATATGGCCTTTTAAAGCTATGTTACAGATTTGGCTCTATCTTGCTATTTGCAATCCGTAGCCAACTATTTACAAAAATAAGTTTACAGATTGTCTTTCTAATCTACAACTTAACTACCTTACTAAATAAGTATTTTTTAAGAGATAAAAAAAAGATTATTGGGACTCTAAAATATAATAATAATAATAATAAAATAATAAAAACTTAGCTTGGTGACAACAAAGGGACAAACATGGCTACAAGGGTTCAAATTTTAATATATATGCTCCTTTCAGACAACCAAATGCCTGTGGAATTATATCTAATGCTTTGCAAAAATAAAAATAATTAAAGATGCTTAACACAATTTAATTAACTAACATATCGTTATAACATTATCAAACATTCAAGAGCATATAAAAATGAATTACAATAGAAGGATAAAGCTACTAATATTTTCCAGCTTCATTATCTTTCATTCCAACTCGATTTTATGAGTTTACATGGTCCGAAAATTACCTGGACAGCAGAAAGAAGAACAAATACAGCAGAGTCAGCTCTTTCCAAAATCAACAGCAAAACAATTAAACAGGCAGCAACAACAGCAAAAGACAGTGACAACCGGCAGATTCAAACCCAAGAAAATAAACTAGAAATACCCCAGCAAAATAGTACAATTATGTAACTCCAGAAAAATCTTTCAAGACTACTCTATTTTCCTTAAACAAGTTTTTCACTTAAGAATCAACTCACAAAAGCTGCTAAGGGATATTATAGCTACTGATTTTTTTTCTCTTTTTTGTGTGTAGAGATCTCTCTCAGTCAGATGGAGTGTCCTCCCCTTTATATCAAAACAACCAGCTATTTCAAAAAAATTAAAAATCAATCTTTTTGACAGAATTTTCTACAAAATCTGCTCTTAAATTCAAAAATCAAGACTTTCTGGTTCAAATCTTGTCAAGTATTTCAAACAAAATCTGCTCTCCATTATTCAAAGACAAACTTTTATTCAAACACTGTCGAAAAGTCTACATTTTCTTGCCAAACAATTTGACTTTGAGTGTTGTACTCAAAGAGTCTTGAAGCAATAAATAAACAACCAAACAAGTATCATATACTCTTAGGTATTCTTCACTACCTCACTTTTATCAATACAAAACTATTTTACTACTTCAACAAGTGCAAAAACAGAAAATTTAACATTTCAAACTTCAAAAACTAATGCTAAAATAATTAATAATAGACAAAATAAAATCTGGAAAAAAAAATCAGCCACGAAAAAGAATAGGATTTTTACCATTTTACAATTCAAGTGACCGAAAAAATGGTGGTATGCCAAAAAAGGGTGTTCGGGAAGGTCGCCGGAATTTGGCTGGATTTTGGTCGCCCGATTTTTTGGGTGAAATTGGCATCAATAGCTAGGTCTTGAGGAGCTCTATCCATTGATGTAGGTATTGTGGGGGTGGTAGTGGCCGGAGCTTCAAGAATTTGGGCAAAAAAGTGACGGTTAAAACTTCCTAGATCTAAGATTCAAGGAGTTTGAGGGGGGTTTTGGAGGATTTGGTTTGGAGATATGGAAAGAGGAGGTGTTGGAGATTACATGGTGAAAATTTGAGATGGTTTGGGGGTGGTCCACCGTCGGTGGGCGATTTCCGGCGGCGGTGGAGGGGCGGCGGTTATGGAGAAAGAGAGTGAGAAGAGAGAGGGAGGAGAAAATAATTATGGAAGAAATGGGGGCAAAATTTCAGCATTTCTAAGTCTTAAATACCTAGTTGGAAGGTTGATTGTGGACCATTGGATGAGGGAGAGATGAATGGATGAGATTTAATCTTGATTCACTTAATGAAACGACGTAGTTTTGAGGCAAAACTACGTAGTTTCAGACCCTTTCAATGACAGCCCCTTATCTTGCACTCTTGGCCATTTTATCTTTCAAATTTAGCCCAATTTCTTCCTTATTCAAACTTACTAAACTAAATTTTATACAAACAAATAAAATAATTAAATAACTTATTCCAAGGATCAATTAACTAGGTTAATTCACCTATTGAACATTTAGTTAATTTCTAAAATGCGCAAATGAAGAAAAAACTATTTTTGGTATTTTTATGATCGGAAATACGCACTTAAACACACAAAATTAAAAAAACTATTAAATAATAAAAAACTAATAAATTTAGTAGGTGTTAAAATAGTGCAAATATTAGGTATTCACAGCTTCCCCTCTTTGCTCGAGAACATGAAGAGTTTTCCATGCAAAGAAAAGTGAATGTCATGGCTAATTTTTGCTCGCATTTTACTCCAATGAAAGCATTTTGAAACGGGTGACCGAACTTTGCTTCCGAGATTGCCCATATATCCTTGGCTATAAAGGAATCAGGTCAGTGTAGTTTTGGAAAAATTTGATAGCTGGGACTACCGGGCATTGGGTTAAGACTGTTGCTGATGCTATTGTTGTTGTTGTTGTTGTTGTTGTTGTTGTTGTTGTTGTTGTTGTTACTGTTACCTGTTGTTGTTGTTGTTGTTGTTGTTGTTGTTGTTGTTGTTACTGTTACCTGCTGCTTACATCAAAAGGAAAAGAGAAGAGAAACTACATATGTCTGCAAACTAAGACTTACAAAATTTCTATCTATGTGTCTTCTGGAGCCAAATCTTGATTCTTGACCTGCTCGCTTGTGTTGACCTTAGATTGGATCTTGATTCTTTTGAAGAAAAGATTATGACTCAATCTCGATGGCTTGCTTTCTGGATCAGAATTTGGGAAGATGAATCTCGAGAAGTTGTGCTGCTAACACATTATCAAAGCTAAACTCCGACTATCTTGTGATCGAAGGATTTCTTTCTTCTGATGAGAAACTGAAACTACAAGCTTTAATCGTCACTTGTGCTATACGACAGAGCCTGCAAAGCCATCAAAGACAAACAAACACGAACAAAATTTTTCTGCCCCAGTCTAGCACTAGAAAAATTTTGTGAGTTATTAGAGAAATCTGTAAATTATCTAATTTATTGAAAAGGCAGACAGAAACAGTAGTAAAAACTGGCAAAAAAGGGATAAAATTTGGTAACGAATGATTGTGTAACCAGGGATCGGTACCCCGTACTACTGAAAAGAAATGTAATCAGGGGCTAGTACCTTCTCTTACTATAAGAAAATAGAATCAGGTGTTAGCACCATGTATTATTGATAAAGTGTTGAATCCTTCTAGGTGAAAAAACGTTCGATCTGAGTTAAACTATATTAAACAACCTGAGCGAAGATTACTTCTACCCGGAAACTATGAGTTGGATCCCCCTAGGCGAAACGGTTCTACTGAGTTAAGCTACGTAAAACACCATGAGCGAAGAGTAACCCCTAGACGAAACGGTTCTACCTGGGTTAAGCTACGTAAAACACCTTGAGCGAAGAGTACTTCTACACGGAAATTATGAGCTGGATCCCCATAGGCGAAACGGTTCTTCCCGGGTTCAGCTGCGTAAAAACAACCTGAGCGAAGAGTACTTCTACCCGGAAACTATGAGCTGGATCCCCCTAGGAGAAACGGTTCTATCTGAGTTAAGCTACATAAAACACCCTGAGCGAAGAGTACTTCTACCCGAAAACTATGAGCTCGATCCCCCTAGGCGAAACGGTTCTACCTAGGTTAAGCTACGTAAAACACCTTGAGCGAAGAGTACTTCTACTCGGAAACTATGAGCTGGATCCCTCTAGGCAAAACGTTTCTACCTGGGTTAAGCTACGTAAAATACCCTGAGCGAAAAGTACTTCTATCCGAAAACTATGAGCTGGATCCCCTAGGCGAAACGGGTTTACCTGGGTTAAGTTACGTAAAAACAACCTGAGCGAAGAGTACTTCTACCCGGAAACTATGAGCTAGATCCCCCTAGACGAAACAGTTCTACCTGGGTTAAGCTACGTAAAATACCCTGAGCGAAGAGTACTTCTACCCGGAAACTATGAGCTAGATCCCCCTAGACGAAACAGTTCTACCTGGGTTAAGCTACGTAAAATACCCTGAGCGAAGAGTACTTCTACCCGGAAACTATGAGCTAGATCCCCCTAGACGAAACAGTTCTACCTGGGTTAAGCTACGTAAAATACCCTGAGCGAAGAGTACTTCTACCCGGAAACTATGAGCTAGATCCCCCTAGACGAAACAGTTCTACCTGGGTTAAGCTACGTAAAATACCCTGAGCGAAGAGTACTTCTACCCGGAAACTATGAGCTAGATCCCCCTAGACGAAACAGTTCTACCTGGGTTAAGCTACGTAAAATACCCTGAGCGAAGAGTACTTCTACCCGGAAACTATGAGCTAGATCCCCCTAGACGAAACAGTTCTACCTGGGTTAAGCTACGTAAAATACCCTGAGCGAAGAGTACTTCTACCCGGAAACTATGAGCTAGATCCCCCTAGACGAAACAGTTCTACCTGGGTTAAGCTACGTAAAATACCCTGAGCGAAGAGTACTTCTACCCGGAAACTATGAGCTAGATCCCCCTAGACGAAACAGTTCTACCTGGGTTAAGCTACGTAAAATACCCTGAGCGAAGAGTACTTCTACCCGGAAACTATGAGCTAGATCCCCCTAGACGAAACAGTTCTACCTGGGTTAAGCTACGTAAAATACCCTGAGCGAAGAGTACTTCTACCCGGAAACTATGAGCTAGATCCCCCTAGACGAAACAGTTCTACCTGGGTTAAGCTACGTAAAATACCCTGAGCGAAGAGTACTTCTACCCGGAAACTATGAGCGGGATCTCCCTAGGCGAAACGGTTCTACCTGGGTTAAGCTACGTAAAACACCTTAAGCGAAGAGTACTTCTACCCGGAAACTATGAGCTAGATCCCCTAGGCGAAACGGTTCTCCCTGGGTTAAGTTACGTAAAAACAACCTGAGAGAAGAGTACTTCTACCCGGAAACTATGAGCTGAATCCCCCTAGGCGAAACAGTTCTACCTGGGTTAAGCTACGTAAAACACCCTGAGCGAAGAGTACTTCTACCCGGAAACTATGAGCTGGATCCCCCTAGGCGAAACGGTTCTACCTGGGTTAAGCTACATAAAAATAGGAGGTGTGAACAAGAGTGATGTATGCCGAAAGTAAAAGAAAATGGAGATTTTAAGGAGCTTACGTTTCGTGACATTCCTTCTTTTTGAATCACCATTCTGCATGCTTTGTTCTTGCTTCAAACAAAGAAAAATTTGTGAGTTTTCAAAGTGGTGGTTGGTTTGTGGCCTTGATGCTCTGAGTAGTTTGATTCGCGGCTACTGCCGTCGAAGAACCGATTCTGTCAGCGTGGCACTGAGATGCTTGACTGCTCTGTATTATTTTCTGGAGACCTTGGCTTTCCAAACTTTTGCTGAGATGGTTGGCCATGTGGGACTCAACCTTTTCAACTTCATTTGCCTTTATAGGCACTTCAATTTGATTTTCTCCTTCCAAGAGTTTTGATTTCGAAGCATCGGCCGCCATGGTCAGTCGAGGCCGACTTATTCCCCCTGACGAGGCTGGGTGCCTTTTTGCATATTAGCTTGTATCAAATAAGAACCCTGTAAATCAGTCTTACCATCTTTTCTTTGTCTTAGTCTCGGAACAGAGTTAAACCGAAAGGGATTCAAAGAAAACAAATAATGGAAGGACAGATGATTTTAAAACAAGAAGTGTCCCTTTTGGGGAAAGGTAAGAAACACTTATCTGGAGTACATGCAGACTTCAATGAACATGACATGCCTTTTGGACTAGATGCCTGATCTATGAAATCGTGTGACTCTCAGAAATTCATCACAACTTTTGCCTCAAAATCGAGAAAACTAGCCAGGTCTCTGTCGATGCCGATGGCTGTGAGAATTCTCTTTTCGATCAGGGGTGCCCTTTGCGGGTTTTCACGAGTTGACCTCTCTCATTTCTCTACTCACCATCGCCTTATAGTGCTATTTGCGAGTTTTCACTAATAAGACTCTCTCATTTTGATTTCTTTGCTTACTGTCGCCTCACGGTGCCCATGTAGGTTTTCACCAATAAGACTCTCTCATTTTATTTCTCTCATTTGATTGCATCGGATCCAAGTAGTTGTATCCTCCAATTTTGGACATCTTTACCGATTGATCAGAAGGACTTGAACAAGATTTGGGGTAAAAAGAGTTTGGACTGAATTACAACTTTGGAACCTTTCAGGCGAACCATCGCCGAACCATTATAACATCTGCCCCAATTTCACTTTTGGGGGAATTTGTATTTTTATTTTGGTGTGACTGAATCCCAAAGAGAGGCTGCCTACGTATCCTTTCGGAATCAAGTCAGACGTAGTTCAGGACAACTTGAACTTGTTTTGATTTTTTTGTTGTTTTTCATTTCATTTTTTTAATAACACCTTTAGGTTCCAAAGAGGGTAATCAAAGAAAAGTAACCGGCTCAAAGGGTTTGCAAAGGGTTGATAGTGTTTGGATAGTGAAAAAGAAAAGCCTTCTT